AAAGCTCATCCTCTAAATTTATTGAAAAAGAGAAGGTTTCTGAGGTGTGAAAGTTATTTTTTTAATGTGGTTTATTTCTGACATCCTGTACAGTTTATGTTAATTATTTGCAGCTTAGTTCGATTGAGTCATTGTTTAGTTTACTTCAAACTAACATGGTTAGAATAATAAAAAATTTAACTTTATTGATCTCACATTGCAGAAATTTACATTTGCATTTAACCCATCCCCTTGTGGAGCAGTGGGCTGCCATCGTAGGGCATCCTGGGAGCAATCGGGGGATAAGGGTCTTGCTCAGAGAGCCAGAGTTGATGGCTGTGGGAGTGGGGCTCAAACTCAGAACCTCAGGATTCCAAGCTCCATGCCATAACCACTAGGCCAATACTTCCCTTTAAACTTAAAGCATGGTGTGTTTAGCAACATGTGTTTTCAGATTATTATAATTTGGATTTCCATAAAAAATATATAGTATATTAAATTAAAGTTAAATACATATTTAAGTTGTCTGTTCTTTTTAATCTAAAAAAGAAAAAACTGTTGTTTCAAAAATAGCTTTTGTGTTATGTCTTAAGTTGGGTTTTCCTTCTTAATTTTAAGATGTTGAATAAAAGTAGTATTTGAAAACAATCTAAAATTGAATAGTTTTAGATGAGAGGTCTGTGTATGTGCACTTTAATGAGAGCAAAAAGTTATAGTTTGTTTTTTAAATATAGTTTTAGAAACAATACAAATTCTCAGAAAACTTGATTTGTGAAAAATAATGGATTTATGACATGTTGCAACTGTCCCAGGGATCCAGTTGGTCGCACCAGCTTAATTTTCTTCTTTTTTTTTAATATTGCTTTATAAATACTTTTAAGTTTTCCATTACGTTTATTTATATAGTGCCACAACACATGTCATCTCAAGGCATTTTACGGATACAATTAACCATTTAGTTATATATAAATAGTATGGACAATTAGCAGACAGGTGTACATTTAACATATTAATAAATGGTTTGTAAAAAGTGGTTCCCCTCACCATGAAAAAAACAGTAAAAACAACAACAAACAGTTATTTTTCTTTATAAAAGAAAATTGCCAAAACATGAGGAATACATTTGTAGACTGTAACTCACTCAGATAAGGGGATCCACAGGGAGCACCATCTTCCCCTGATGTTCTGGTCCAGATGCCCAGATAGTTGGTATCCGAAGCATTGCAGCCTTAAAATCACTGTTAATCATCATCATCCAGAATCTGATGGTGAGGCAGGCTTATAGAGACCACAGGGCTGTTTTACAATAGTAGAATTTAGAAATTCAGAATAAAAGCTAAAGTCAGGCTCTGCCTCACCTGACTTTAGGAATGGGTCAAATGCAGATAGTTAATTTCTCCATTGTGAGATCAATAAAGTTCTATTTTTTTCCTAGCATGATTGGGTCATCCTGGCTTTATCCATTTCCCAAAGACCAAGTCGGGCTCGACTGGTGCCGTTATGTCAATCCAGCTGGTGTAAGTAATCCTAATTAATGAGTGTCCACAGCTTTCTTCAAAACAGCCTGAGGTCGGTCACAGAAATACTAATACAGCAAACAATAGTGGGCTGACTAAATGCCTAAACACCTTTCCTAAAAGCTAGAAAAATATAAAAACATAATTTATTGAGTAACTTGTCATTTTATTAAATGAACTATAAGCTTAAAAACTAACAGTGGGAGTCAGTCCTATATTATAACATCTATTAAAGTTCTGACAGATGCCAGAATGATATTACTTTTCTGTTTTAGCATTCAGTCCATCTGTGGTGTAGCAGAATAAATCTGACTTTAATGGGGGAAACTCAGAATCAAATTCTTTGGACATCAAGAAGTGAATCTGGTATAAAAGTTTGCCATACTATGGAAATGATTCATCATTTCTGTTTTTCTGTTACTCATCTTGCTGAAATCAGACGGAACTGACTTGAATTAAAGGTGCATTCAGACATATTTGATTCTCATGGTCATTTTAGGTGTTAAAAAGGCTCATGCAAGTGGTGCAGGCGGTGGACCACCATTCCCAGAATTCACAGCAGCAGATCTGTCCCTTCATTTAAACAAAGGGAGGCCTGTTTTAAAAGGGATCCAGGGTCGGGGACAGTCCTGGAGTTAGCCTCACACATCATCTTTAGCAGTAAGATGCGCTAGGCTAATTTAATGCACATAAAATATAAACAATAACTCACTCTTGCAAAATGTTGTAATTTTCTATTAAGAAAATCACCATGTGATCCAGAGGGGCGTGTCTTAATATAGGTGAGGTCCTTCGCACATATAGCATTAAGGAATCCTGTATTACAATCTTTTTTGATGTGTAGGCTAATTAATGCTTTCTGTAATATTGTAGAATCACTCATTGATGTTGGATCAGAGATGTTACCCAATAAAATTCTTTTTTGAAATGGTCTGTATGACTGATTTACTCAGTATTATACTTTAAAGTGACATAATCACACTAATCATGCATAACTGGTAAATATGCTTCATGATTTTTGGGAATAGGAGTGTCTCCTACTCTGACTTCTGCAGAATGGTAAAAGGCCAGATAAACAATGAGGTCACTGGACAGAGAGCTTTAATCAAATGCAAAGGCTTCTGTTTATTGACCGTTGCACGCACAGAGAACAGGTGAGAGTATATTTACACAGATGTAAACAGTATCTGCAACAAAGGTAAAAAAAAAAATACAAAAAAAAAGAGAGGACACAGTATTTTTTTTTTTTTTGTCGGACTCACATCCATAAACACTTGCAGGCATTTAGATACATTCACTCAAAGGGAATATGCCGTATGAAGAGAATGCGGAGTGTCTGAAAACACAGAGCACAGCAGGCCTCTTTGGTCAGCTACTTGAGATAATATTTCCACTGATCAAAGCTTGTTACGAGTTACCAATCAGAGAGCAGAAACAGCACACGTACTGGCAGAGCAGAAAACAACGAGACCAAGGTCGTTAACATTGATTGATGGGTCACTTGGATAGAAACAGTTCTGCTCAGATTCAGATTTTTTTTTTTTCCAAATATACACAATCAGCAGAAGGTCATTTGTGCTCTGAAGAAATCATGGCAAAATCCTCTTGTTGCAAACAACTTAAAAAGTACCAAAGATGGGGGGAAATAAATGCATGAAATCATCTTTACAGTTGCTGCTATGCAGAAATATATCTTTACAAAAGGAATGAAACTTTTACTAAACATGGATTTATCCGTCATTGTTAGAAATTATATTGTTTTACTGTCTTTAACATCAAAAATGTAAAAGAATGAAAAAAAAAAAGCATACAGTGAGTGCAAATGGCAGGCTTCCTTTACTTCACTTCTTTTTGAAAAAAAAAATGAACTGAAATAATGAAAAATAATACAAGTTATAAAAAATGCCTGGTTAAAGCAAAAAAAAAAAAAAAAAAAGCTAAGAAAAGAAAAAAAGTTAAATTAAAAGTTCCTGCACAGCAGAAGATAACTGGGGAAGGAAGAGTCGTTATCTACAAGCCTCCTTCTGTCAACTCTTTCCTTCTTCTTCTTCTCCATTTTTTAAATTCTTAAAAACCTTTATTTGTTCTGCATGCAATTGCTTCATTTTCTTTGGCTCACACAAAAAAACTAAAACGGTTGCGTTTAGCTAAATCACCAAATGTTTTCTGGCTACAGTTTAAATAAACACAGTGTAACCATGGTGACAACCAGACCTGTGCTTCCTGTAGGGTCTGTAGCCGTGAAACTCTGCAACCTAAAGTGGCTCAAAAAGCTTTTCGTTCTTCTTTAACATGCAGAGAAATAAACCAAACGTAACAGGTGTGAATTTGCATTGACATACTTTTGTTCAAGTAAACTTATGTTTTGTTTTACCTTCAAAAGATTCATTCAGTACAAAACAAGAGGGCAACAAAAGAACATAAAGCATTTAGGCTAAACTAATACTGGTAGCTTTCAAAATGAAGACCTGTCCCAGTCCCAGTGCAAATATCTACTCCTACCAGGGAATCTGGACTATAGCATAAATAATCTGAATAATACTTAGAGCAGCACGACAGATTGAAGACCTCACAGTGAGCATTTTCAATGGACTTTTGAGAGGTATTAAGTATTAAGTTGGACATGACATTTTAGATAACTGGCTGATTTGCCGGTCTTTAGCCGTCCTCATCTGATATAATGCCATATTTTCTGAATGCTGTGCAGCCCTAATATTGAAAATGATTAAGAGTGATGACAGCATGACGATGAATACGATCCAGCACAGAAATATTCCACCAATTAATGGAATATTTAAGTAATTAATATAGAATTAATTAATCAACATTAATATCCTAAATATTTTTGCTAAAGATATGGGTTTTATTTGTGAATAATAAAGGCTGAAATTAAGTAACTGAGGGATGTTCGAGCAAATATATCTTAAATTAAAAGAAAAAATGCATTGAAAGATGCCAAAAGGAAGAAATAACCTAAATTTCCAAGATTATAGAAAAAAAAATTTTTTTGTCTGTGTAAAATTTTAGGCACCTAAATGTTACTTTAATGACTTTAATGAAAACTAAACTTCTTAATAGAAATGTGAACAAAGTTAGACGTGTATGACAAAAATGTTCCTTAGCAAAAAGCGTACAAAACACTTTAAGGTCAAATGGATTCAGTTTACACAGGATGTCATAATGCATGACAGGAATGGCACAGAGCTTATTTACTTCACTTCATTTGGATTTTTTTTTCTTTTTCAGAGCAGCAACCTGTCAATATGCTGTGATCGCTGTCGGCTTCCTAAGTAAGGTGCAAAATCTCTCTAATGTCACAGTCTAAGGTCACCCGCAGAGATCCGTAACTAGCTGTCACTGCTGCCCGGCGGCTTCACATTGTTTACGTGTTATTAACAAGCAAACAGCACAAGTCGATGCCACACACACCCATGCGGTATACTGAGACCTTTCTGGGTTGGAGGCTTCCATTGGACTTTAATATACATATATATATATATATATATATATATCTTTTTTTTTTTTTTTGTACCACTCTAAAGCTGCGTCCTTTTTAGAAATAATCTAGTATAGAGTTGCCATGCTTAAAAACTACAATTCCCAGGCACTTGATTGAAACCAAATGTACAGTAAAGTTACCCTCTGGGTCAGCTTGCCTCTGATGCGCAGAGAAAAGTCAGCAACATTCAAAGTCAGACCCAAACCAAAAACAAAGCTTCATATTCTAAAATACAAAAATAATGACGAGCAACCTCCACATGCATGACAACATTATAGTTTCTTTTGAGATACACTGCACACTGATAAATTAGGTAGTGGTTGGCGTTTTTGCATTTACTCACTAGAACTCATGCTGCAATGCTACGGTGAAGTGACTGACAGGAGCCAGAATGGAGAAAGAAAACTGGAATGTCTGAAGTAGTATGAAAATGAGCAGAAAGAGAATGAGGTAGAGACAGGGAAGTGAGGGATGAGGAAAAAAGGAGACAAAAAAATGAAAGAGTGAAAGAAAAGAGAGAGTCAAGTAATCAATGTTTGCTGGGTGGCTTGGGTCAGTTTGAAATGGATGGTTGTCTCGGGCTGCGCTTGAAACCTGCTTTTTACATCCGCAGGTGGTCGGTGAACGGAGGCTCAGAGTCGTCCATGGGGAGGACCAGACGCGTGCCCCTCATCACCAGCTCATTATCTCCGTATGCTAACTCTCTATCCAGGTCGTCTGAGGCGTGCCGGCCGCTGGTGTGGGCTCCTGTCGCGTCTGTGCTGACAGTGATGTCGCCGTAGGTCAGGCTGATGTCTCCGTCCGTCAGGATGAGGTCAGAGTCATCATCCTTCAGCTGGCACTCATTCTGGGAAGGGGGTGGACAAGAGACATATCCTGATATGTTCATCAAACGTGAACTAAATAGGTCCATATGACCCAAATTCTGACCTCATAGGCCTGAGGGCTGGTGAGAAAGCGAGCCAGGGGGTCGCAGCAGGGAGGGAGTGTAGATGTGAGAGGGGGGCCACTGTGAGTCAGGATGGGCTTCAGGTAGCTGGAGAACAGCTGGAGTAAAGGAAGCATTTCAATAACAAATGAAAAACAGAAACCCCTTTATCACAATTTTTTTATATTCCAGCAGACTTTATGCATATTGTGTGTTTCTGATGTTTTTATTGTTTATTGTTGATTCACTTTGCTCCTTAGGACCTATGGGCAAATTTTGAATGTCCCCACTGTGGGACAGTAAAGGCTATCTAATGTCTTTCATTCTGCAATCAAACAAAGTTTATTTTTATAGCACTTTACAAAAACACCAGGAGGAGCAAAGATAAAAACATTGTAAAAACAAAAATCCTAAGCATAAATCAGTGTTCTATTAAAAGCCAGTTTTAAATAATGAGTCTTTAATCTGGACTTAAAAAGGGGCAGATCTGTGAGAACATGCAGCCAGGGGGGCAGGCGGCTGCACAGTTCAGGTACGGTAACCACAAAGGAACGATTGCGCCACTCTTTATACCGGGACCTGGGTATTCTGACTTACCAAAGTCTTCACACTGATGAGCTACAGTTTAAAGTGGATAATTACATACCCTGTATAATTTCAGTTAAAGCTTTTGAGTCATCATGTGCCAGTTGTGATTACAGAAAAAATCCAAAAACAACTTTTTTATTATTATATTCTCAAAATTCAGACGTTTTTATACACACCAAGATGAGTGTTATTAAAAAAGACCCATCTGGGAAGACCCAGATGGCTATTCTTTTTTTTTATGATATTAAATCCATAGGTCCATTAACATCAGCGACTGACCCGTCTTAAGCTACTTCAGAACAAACCTCAAGCAAACAGCTTCATTCTGTGACATCATGTCAACAAAATGTAGAGAAATCAACCAGGTTTATTGTGGACCTCCATATGCGTGGTTATTTTTGTCATTAGTCTAACTGATCCCAGTTGTTGATTCTTTGAGGCCAATTTTTGAAGCCAACATTGTTTTATAATCCTCCACTGAAATGATAAATGACATACTAACAGTCTCAGTTTAAACAAAAAAGAAACATAAAAAAACACCAAAAAATGGATAGCAAAGGGACGGAGCACAGATGCATGAAGCCGTTATCCAGTTAAACATAAATCCAGGACCTATGTATAAAATATGGACTTGGTGGATGAACGTGAGCATAAGAGGTTTAATATCCATAATAAAACACATCTTGTATCAGCAGTAGCTGAAAGGCTGCAGTAAATAACAACCTCAGACAGTAAAGAAAGCTATATCCTTGTATTTAGTGTAACTCTATATCAGATTTAACTTCTGAATCTGGAGATCATTTAATTCTTAATGTATAACTTGAGCTCCCTCTGCTGGCTTAAAATATGAACACCAGCCCTTACTAACGGGCTTGAAAGCCTTTCATTTAACAAGAGCAGAAAGCAGAAAGCAGAGCAGCTGAATCACAACGGTACGCGCTCTTTTTAAAGGATACTTGTGGTCGAAGTTGTACCAAATTCTGAACAGCCAGGCGCTTTCTTGTTTGGTGCTTCTCCTCTCTGATCCATCTGCGAAACTCATCTGAACCAACACAGAGGACATTTTTTTTTTCATTAATGTCATTACAAATAACATCAGCTGTAAACCAGATCATCTTGTGGCATACTTACAGAGTTGTCTTGATCAGAGTCAACGCCCACTCTGTAAAGGGAAGAACAATGAATCTGTCTCTTGGTCAATTTCATAGCGCAGTCTGCTTTCATGTTTGATTGTATTTAGAAGCATTTTAATTACTGAATCCAGTTATTATATCAGACAAAGATATCAGACATAAATAAAGGATACAGTTTTCAAAAAAATTAGCAAACTAAAGCAGACGTTTTGAAAGGTGAGCCCCTGTAACCTAGAATAAAACTACAACAGATCCTGACCAATAGGGGTCCGAGTCTGACTGGCTTGATTAAAATGGTCTAGTCAAAGTTTGAGCTTAAATCTTATTAGGATTATGTCTACAGGGACTAAAGACTAATAGCTGGTTTGTCAAATGCTCGATCACAGTCGATGTCACCATGGGTGGCAAAACCAGCACATTGACTTTTTCCAAATCGATGTCTTTTTATGAATAAAATTATTTAAAAAAATGTATTTTGTATTTTCTTAAGTTGACAAGACTCATCTAGAAATCCTACAACTATACATTAATAAAAAAAATTAGCACCTTCTAGTTTCACATTAATGTAATCAGGCATTAGCATTTTCTTTCTGCCAGGACTTAAACAGGGATGACAATTATCAACCGTTTGATTTAGCAGAATTTAAACAGAATCACTTAGAGCTTTTGGCATCATTTTTCAAAGTAAAAATACCTCTTGATGTGTAAATATAGCCGCTCAAGAGCGGCAAGTCTGAAACAGCGTACCGTATCCGCTGACAGGACAGCATCTGAGTGGTGCCACCGCCACAAACCCAGACAGTGAAGAAAACTACGAGAAGATTGGTGGAGAACATCATCTGACGGGCGTACGTAGCCGTGTCCCTGATGGAAAGAGCAAAAGTCATAGCACCTCGCAGGCCTAAAAATAAAAAGAAGAAAACATGAGAGAAATGTTCACATATCTTTTTTAGCTGTCAAATCTCTTCTACAGTCTGTGCTCCACTAGCCTGCAAACATCATCATGTGCTGGAAGTTGGATCTAATCTTGTTACGTCGTCCCAGATTGAGGAGGAATGACAGCGGGTAGATGTTAGCAGCTCTTCCCACAAACACTGCCAGCTGGATGGGAAGAAGGTCAAGGAAAAAACAAACAAACAGTGGAATCCAGGAGGAAATTGTCATCTTTGCATTAAATCTATCAAGACTTTACAAAATCACTTGTGTCTAGATGTAACTTTACATGTAGAGCATGTGATACAAGGATATTGTGATTATTAAGAGTAACTGAAAGAAATAAGCATTATTTTATAAAACAGGAACATTTTCAAACAGATTGAAAAGATACGAAAGCTCCAACGATGAACATAGGGTTAAAGATGTGGTTCTGGAAGGTGAACAGGGTCAGACCCATGTAGGAGAAAATGAAATTCTCTGCCAGGAAATTTAACAGCTCAAACAGCTGCAAAAACAAAACAAAGATCGAGAACAAAACATTAAAACTATAATAAATTACTTTTCTTTGAGTCAAGCATTTTTTTCAGCAGACATTTAAACATATTTGGTTCAGTTTCTTTCTGTTCACTCATGAACAAAGATGGTCGTTTTGACATGATTGCAGCAACAGAGAAGATAGTGGCCGGTAAATATAGCAATGTGCTGTCAGCAGTACTATTATTATATTAATTTATTATTTCAGAGATATACTGATGAGTTACAGGATACACAGATAAAGCTATAGGTTAAGCCCCTCCTGAGTGGAGAGGCTAAAGTGTCATTTGTTGTTTCATAAATGCATGCAGCTTCATATATGTAAACCAGTCATGTACCAAACAGAGAAATGCATCTGCAGTGCTGCACAATTTGATGTTTTAATGAGTTTAAATAACAAAAGTGTTTAACTCTACATAAAAACATAAAATGTAAATAACTTGAAACACCTTCCAAATCATATGAATTGTCAGAAGTCTGACTTTTTGCCTGCATACACATCAACAGACACACATTTCACTCTTTTACACAAGCTGGTTGAAAAAGACTTTGTCGTGACTTTGAGGTTGGCAGAGCATTCAGGGTTTATGACCAAGAAGTCAGTAACTGTTTTAGATACTTATTACAGGGTTTCTGCGGGTCATTAAAAATCATTAAAAGTCATTAAAGTATTATTTTTTTAAATTAAGGCCTTATTTGGCATTAAAATTCATTAAATGTGTTTATTGTGGCATTTAAAATGATTTATTAAAAAAAATGTTTATAAAAAACAATTTCGTTAGACATATTATATCGGGATATATTTGCGAGGAACTGCTTCTGGTTGGTCGCAAAGCTGTATGTTCAGAAAAGAAGCTTGAGTCGGAGAAAAAGCTAGAGAACGCGGGGAAAAAAGCGAAATTCAACAAAAGTGGCTGGAAAACGAGGAATTCGGGACATGGCTGCAGCCTGTCAACGGGTACCTGTTAGTGGCATTAAAATAATTTCTAAGCGCATTAAAAAGCATTAAATTTGAGTTATTCATTCCTGTATAAACACTGTATTAGCAAATGTTAAAGTATTTCTTAAAGTGAATGATCTTACATTAGAACTTTTTTAAGTGAATCATAATTAATTTGTGATTGGTTATGAGCTTATTTTTTTTAATTCACGCATGCCACTTATCGCCAAAGATGATCTTATAAAGTGTTTCAGAAGTGAATCATCTTAAAAAAAAACAAATCCTAATATGGTTTGATAACGTGGCACAAGCATTTCTATACGCCTCCGTAATCATCACCTGCTAGTGTCGATCAGAAACTCCTCTGAGCTGCGCTCTTAATGCTGGGTCAGACTAAGAGATGCTGCGACAGCACCATGCAGAAAGCCCTTCTGCAATTAAAGCCAAACCTGATCAACTGAAATCAGTAGCTATTATTCATTGAACTCTGTTTTAGAGTTCCAGATATTATGGGTTAATTTTATTTTTATGCACCTGTTGTAGAGATGAAGCTCGTTTTTTTTCAGGAACTGTTCTGTTCTAAATTTCTAAAAGAGGAACCTCTGGGGTGTCCAAACTGCACCACAGAACGATCAGATCAGATCAGAGCAGCTGTTGGACTATTGGATTTCAGGAAACCCCTGTTGTTTGACAAACAGCGTCTAACCCTAAAGTTACTGCTCTTTTTTTTTTGCTGTACGCTTGTAGTGGTTCAGAATTGAAACAGACTTAAAGTTCCCATTTTCCGAGTTTCCTTCTCTTTTGCAGACCTTTGGTTTTAGATTCAGACAGAAACAAGAATAGAAGGTGTGATAAAAACAGCCAATCATCTATAAATATTCATAAATAATCACATATAAAAAACGAAATGCTCATTTTCTGTTCCCTTCACAACTTCCCTTAAGGGTTTTTATACTATTTTCTGTTTCCTTTGCTTACTTAATCCTTAAATATAAAATCATTTTTGATCCCACAAATGATCAATCCTAATCTAGCCATTTAGTTTTAAACTAACGTGTTAATATATTTTATAACACACTTATCTCATTATTTTCTAATAAAAAAAAAAAAGAAAAAAAAAAAGTGAACTTAAGGGTCAATGTTTAGGAAAATATTTCACATCTTCAGAATTTGATACTGATATATTTGATGCTAAGAGGATTCTTTAAATTTAATAAAAAAAAGACTGATTAGAAACTTAATTCATAAATATGATTAAATATACCGTATTTTTTGGACTATAAAGCCGCTACTTCAGTGTGTGAATGTGTGCGTGAATGGGGCAATGACTGAATGTAGCGTACAGCGCTTTGGTCAAGTCCTCTGACTTGAAAAAAAAAGACTTTATTGGTACAGGCCACTTAACATTTACCATTTTCCAATGCTTTGAACCACGTGGGTTATAAGAAGGTGCGGCTTTTCTGTGGATTTTTCCTAACCGCCAGAGGGGGAAGTCAGAATTGGAAATTAAAGAATAAGGCGCTATTTTTCATTTAGCACAAGTACATGCTAACAGCAGGCACCACGGAGAACAAATGTCCCAAATTCTGAGATTTATTTGCTGCATTAAAGCTGCTGAACCTATGAGAGAGACTGGGCCCCATCTTTCAGTAGTAGCTCTTACAGCTGTGAGCAACATCCCTACAACAGGGGCTATATATAGAGCTCCCCCTAGAGGTGTGGTGGGAGACAGTTCAGTAGATATCTGCGGCTTATAGCCCAGTGCGGCTTATATATGCATGTTTCCAGTTTCCAGGTGTGCTCTATAGTCCGGAAAATACGGTAGGGTTAGAATTTTAACCACAATTACACCTGGGATTTTTTTTTTTTTTATAATGACACAACTTAACACTTTAAGATGGGTTCCGACCTGCTTTGTCCTGTCCTGAGACTCGGGAGACAGGTTGTTGAAGGTGTAGTGGGCCTGAGTGATGCCACAGAAGAGCACTGCCACCACACCTGTGGAGCACAATGTTAGGTTAGATCATATAATAGAAAGACAAGAAAACCACATTAGGATCCCTTCTACTGGAATGCAGGAAATATTTACAACAGATCCATTTTAAATACATGAAAGTGTTTCTGGTACCTGTGAAGCCACAAGCTTCAGCCAGCAGAAAGGTGCTCCAAGACATGAGAAAGAACAGAGCCGTCTCCAGCAGCTGGAAATCCCTTAGCTTGGTGAACTTTGTTACGTACAGATCACAGTCAAGGACTTGGTTTAAATCAACACATTGGTTTTACACTTATTGATTTAACTCAGTTTATACAAATATGATCTCACTACAAAAATCACTCTGCGGGGTACTTCGCAGAAAGCTTAACTCTGGATAACTTTGCTGAGCACAATGGATGGAAAACAGAACCAGAAAAGATATAAGAGCTGTAACGATCCCTGTGGCCACTCCCAGTGAGAAGGAGCCGCTGAAAACTCCAAGGAACATCCCAAAAGACTTCAGCAAGGCCATGACCTCAAAGGTGTGGCTGTTGTCTCCCTGCGGCTGATATGCAACAATAGACCTGGTTGTAAACATAGAGAAAAACACTTATTGGCAAATATTCAGAGTTAATACCAGATATTTCAACAAAGTTTACAAAAACTGATATTTTTTGTTTTGATTGCTGTCAGACGTTAAATCCAGCTAAACTTGTTCTGTTTTAGGTCTAATAAAAACCATCTCCATTTCTTAAATGTAAAAAGAACCAAAAAGCAACCAAAGATTGTTTTTTCAGACTTCTTGACACTTAAACTTTTCCTACATTTCCTTAGGGCCCTGTCACACCTTGCCGATTTAGCGTCCCAGAATCCCCAGAAACGCTGGCATATGCTGCACTTTCTATGTATTTTTTTTTTCAATTTTGGGCATATACATGGAGTAGTCCAGAACTTATGTCCAACGACAGCCTAACTTATGCATAACGTACGACAGTGTAATGCCTATGAAATTATGCACAAGCCAGTGTCCTGAGGGGGGAGGAGAGCGGCTTGATTAAAAAGATTTCTTTGATCGAGGTATTAACCTAGCTGCTATTTACCGCCTGCCAAAAAAAAAAGAATATAGAAACAGAAATTCCGTAAAAATTCAAAAAATATCCACTGGACTTGGTTTTCAAAGTTTTCAAAGTTTCCTTGGTTTCCAGTGGATATTTTTTGAATTTTTACGGAATGACTATGACCTGGATGACTGAGAACCTTCATCAGCATAGAAACAGAAAGAAAGAAGGTTTGCAGTCGTAGCAGATTCAGCGTGATGTCTGCTAGGAAGATTGTTGGTCGTGGGCGTGAAGGCAGGAGGATCCATCACACTCACCTTCATGCTCACCCTATGATGCGGATGCAGCCTGAAGGAGAACTGACGGTTTCCTCCTGTGAACCCCCTTTTATACCAAATCGCTAACAATACGCCATTAAACAGTAGCTCGAAGTCAGAAACATGTTCAGCGGTCGTCCTGGAACACGTCAAATACGTCGATATGTGTTGGAGAAAAGTTCTTTATAAAAGTTACGCATCCGTTATGCACAAGTTACTCATAGGCTTTGGATAAACTAGACACCATGACTTCTGAGTAACTTACACTTAACGTATCTCAACAATCACATTACTTATTTGTAACTTATGGCCCACGTAAAAGCATACGCTGGCATACGTCAGGTAATTTTGAATGCTCAAAACATTTCTCGACGCACTTGCCGTATGTCGACGTGTTTCAGCAAACTCCAGCGTGCTCATGACCTATACACAACGTACCCATAATTTATCCAATGTATACCAGCATTTTTGCCAGATTTTGCGTACGTCAAGCTTACGCTGTCTAAATAGTCAATCTGTGACAGGGGCTTTAGTAATTGGTCCAGTCTTATTTTTCTAAAATGTATGTCTTAGGTCAAACCATATGGATATCTTTTAAATACAGTAAGGAGGAATTCTGAGCCGTTATTCCTTGCAGAACGCTGGAACTGGGTCAGATCTTTAGGCTGCACTGGTCATAAACCCCTTTTGTGCTCAACACACACTTCTCTAGGTCCTGAGATCAGAGCTTTGACCTACTAAAATATTGACTTTGCAGATCATAATCTGTCTTTATCTTTCCCTTTCAGGCTCATATCTTTAATTGCAGCATTAATATTTCCAGATTGCTGTGTACAATCATTTAAAGTATGGTACTGCATTTTTCTTGCTCAGGAGTAAAATAAACGTAACTAAATTAAAACTTTGCAGATAAATGAAAAGCCTGTTCAGGCATTACGGCGCCTCTCACCCTGTCAATCTCAGTGGCCTATTAATAGAGCCAAAGTAGGTTAAGAGGATTTGGTAACCCCAGCATCCCACTCTTCTCTCCTTAAAAAGCGGCATTTGGATGTCATTCCTTATTTCTTTATTCAATATTTTCTTTCTGAAATAATGTATTTTTTAGATGAGACTTCATAACTTTAATAAAATATTTTTGAACACTGAGCATTACCAGGGAAGCCTACAGATGTAGAGAATGCTATACAATGCATCTTACATGTTAGTTAGAGCTTAACATCAAATATCTATTTTAGCCGGAGCTTGTTTGTTTGGTTTTGCTTTAATCACAGAATGATTCTAAAATTTGATTTATTTAGATTTACACCATCTCTCCTTCACAGAGATTATAAGATGATTTGTTTTAAATTGCCTTCCTTCTGTATGGCCCTGAGAGCCTTTTAAAGCTAATAATATTGTGGGGAAAATGTTTTCTTAGCCCACACAAAAAATAAATAAATAAAATGACTTAACTCAGAAGAACTTTTAGAACTTAATGTTCTAAAAATCTGTCTGGATAAGTCAGTCAGAAACAACAAAAGCCTCTGATTTGTAGTGTTTGCCCCCTGGCACTGCAGAAGCACACAAAAGAATGATCTACTTAGTGAACTAATTCAGTGAGTTGGCCTTGGTCTTTCTGCACAGTACAGAGATGAATCTCCTAGCTGCATGCTATCATGACACATTTTTCAAAGGAAATTACAACAGTTTGAAGGGAGAAGTTAAAACAGAGTAACCTGGGCAAACGATTTAAGTTTGGTGAAATGTCTGATCAGAGGCCAAAACATTCACTTTTAAAGTCATGTCTCAAACAGTCAGTGCATTTCCTTCTCTGTTTACTTGCAGATTAAAAATTATATAAAAAAAACAACTTACGAGGACAAAACCACGGCCACAGCATCATTGAGCACACTTTCTCCAAACAGCAGTGCATACAGGTCAACATCAACCTGTAGCTCATGGAAGATAGCCAGGACTGTCACTGTGAAACATACAGATACATGTTTTTTTTTCATGGTGGAAATACAAACACATGGCATTTGGAAAAACCTAGGGGCTCCTATTTATCGCTAAAGTTACCAAGGATTCTGTTAAAATATAGTTTTTTAAAATCTTAACTGGAATTTCCAGTTTATAGACAAAAGTGACCATGACCCAATACAGTATATATTGACAGCAGATATAAGCAATGTCCTCAAGTAACACGATTTAAAGGAAATCTAAAAAAATAATTGGTTTAACACAGTAATGCTATTAAAGAATTTACTTTAACAAATGTTTGCACAATGAGGATTAGCATGAGAGAGGTCGCTTATTATAAAAATAATTATCTGATCCAACGATTTTATTTGTCAACTTGTTTAAACCCAGTTAACCCCAAGTTGAGTTAAGCTCAATGTAAACTTCTTTAGTGAGTTTTCGACAGCCTCAGAAATAAAACAGGGATCAAATCTGACTGCCTGGAAACTACAGAGTTATTGATCTGATGAACAAGATGTCAATATTTACACACCAATCAGTACTTCTCATTACTACCAGCAGGAACTGATGTCAGGGTTTAAATTGATCATTATCTTAAACTGTAAATATGTAATAAGAAATTATGATGTCTAAACTAGACAAAAGTGTAGTAAAGGTTCTCTCCTGCTCTAGAAGGAAACCTTAGTTCACCAACTGCAATGAAACAGATCAAATCTGAGTCATATGAAATGGTGTTTTTTTTTTTTTATAAACAGATGACATTAACGCTGGTGTACCTCTGGGATGTACACTTGGTCCCTTCAATATCTAGTAAGTATATTAAGGACATTACTGAAGTTTCCTCACCTTACCTTGGCTAAAATGTGATTTTTTTTTTTGAACTATTGAGACTTTCCTTGAAATATAATTTAAAAAAATATATATATATATAAATATTATATATACACACATACCTGGGTCTGTTGCTGAGACAATAGCTCCAAAGAACAGGCAGTCAGTGAAGAAGAAGTCTTCACCCATCTGGCCCAACTGCTTCATTAGCACAACACAGCCGTACATCAACAACCTGTTGGGAGGACCAGAAGGCATCTTATCTTCAAAAACACACTATATGGATAAGCAATACTTTCAAATACATTGTAAAGGTTTGTCTTAGTAGTTGTTAAGCAGCATTATCTTACCCAATAACAAAACAGGAAATCACTGTCCCCACAAAGGCATAAGCAAGGATAGATCCCATATTCCGGAAAAAATGTCTCTGTAAAATAAAAACAACTATTAGAAAAATGCACCTCTTTTTTTAATTTACAAGTCAAAGATTAGTTCAACGGAAGACAAAATGTTATCAGAAATGAAAAAGATTTGTTTGAAAATAATTGAACGTTGTACCCTTTTTAAGCTGTAGCCTGCATGGAAGATAATGGGTGGGAGAAGAATATTGAAGAAAACTTCAGGGTCAAACGTGACCTGAAATACACAAAAACAACATTTTTAGCTGAACAAAAAGGCCAAACTTCACAAACAGTTTTATGTTGATGAATTTCAGGATACATTCAATTAACATGTATTTTTTTTAATCTAGCATGAAACATCTGGAACTTAGAATAAATTGACAAATTGACAAAAAGTGGAAGAGTGACAGTTTATCAAACATCAACTCATTAAACCTGAGACCAAATTAAAGCCTAAATCAAGATCAGCCAATAAGATTTGATGGAACAAAAGAATCTAGTTATTCTGCTGTTACTTTACACTGCATCACAAAGGAAATAGCCATCTTAGAGCACTTTACAATACACAGATTTAAAGCTGTTTTTTCATTGTTGCTTGAGACAAAGACAAAGGTTTTCCCGCCCCTTGAGCTTTTCTTTCCCCATTAAAAAAATCCCAATAGAACACCTGCGATTTTATGTATAAAAAAGCAACACAAAGTATCACAAAGAAGCATTGAATAGTGAGCTGAATAGATTTTTTTTCTACTTAATAATAAAAACCCAAACAGGGTGACATATTTATGTATTCAACTCCTTAAAATCGAACACACAAACTTTGAAAGCATCTTACATTCAAACCATTATCTAAAACTGAAAAGATACCGAAAGCTTCAAGGATTATGTGAAAAGTAACTGACACAAACTAAGCGGTTTTGCACAGAAAAAAAAACAAAAAATATTAAAATATCAAGATGTGTAAAATGGTAGAGACAAACCCTTTAAAGTTTACCTGATACTTCAATAAACTGTGGTTTTACCAATCAGCATCTCAGAGGGGATAAATTGTGTTGATCATCAGAAAAAAATCCTACAAACATATGTTGATTTTTGTGGGTAAAATTTGACAAAATGCACAAAAAGTTAAAGCGCTCTGAATACTTTTGCGAGAAGGATTGAAATAACGCATGCAATCAGAAAGCTGTTCTTATTGCGTTAAACTGATGACAATAAAACAAAGATATAATAGATATAAATTCAATCCTTCTTTGCTTAATGAGCGATAACTTCACTTTTAACAATTTCCAGGTGTTTGAATTGCAGTTGCTCTCCTTCATGATTGTGTGACCAAGCAAACAAAAACACTGAGGATGGCCCAGTACCTTGCGCAGCATTTCGTTGTCTTTCACGTCGTTCACCTCATTGGCGCTGATCTCCCCTTTCAAAGTGTACTCATAAAATTTCCCGCTGACATTAACCAGCAGGGTGGCGGGGCTGGCGTTAACAAAACAGTTTGTCGAGACCACGCTGGCATCCCGAGGGACCTGAACGACGTAACGTAAGATCACCCCCACGATGAGCCCTGGGGAAAGAGGTGAAGGATAAAAATAAAAACAGATTGGGTTAATTCAGGACAGCAAAGCTCCACTACTTTTTATATGCAATGTGTTTGGATTATTCCATCAAACAAAACTATTTAGTTTAATCTGCATTGATCAAAAAGTTAAAGTTTTAAAGCCTAATAAAAGTAAAGCTCATGCAAATAAACAAAATGAACAATTAGCTACAGTTCTAGTCAGATGCATTGTTATTTCCCAGGGTGGAAAGCATGCAACAGGAAACAAAAGACATAAATCTGGAGCAAAAATTTTGTTTTTCTCTAATCTAGTGTTAGAAATCTACATAAAATCTAAAATAATCCAGACATCCTCATCAAATGCTCATTAGCCCGTCTAGTCTTGATCACACTTATTTATCCCTTTAAAAACTTTCTGCCTAAATAAGGTTGATTTTTTAATCTAATATTAATAATATTTGCTAATATTTGCTAATATTTGCCAGCTTTATCTTTTCCAAACCTATTTTTACTGCCGGTTTTAGATCAAAGAAACCATATGTGTCAGTGTTCCAACCCTCTGTTTATTTAAAGTGAGGCCGAAGAATCTGGAGGTAATGATTCTTTTTCATATTTCCACCGACTCTTTCCAACGCTGAAGTACCGCTGCAAATAGATTAGCTGCCTTGTTAAACAGTAGGTACAACGTTCTTAGGTCTGAATGTCTCGTATTCAATGCACATATCATACTTCTTGAAAAAAAATACCTCAATCTCCTCAGAGGGATTGGTCATTTGGCCAGCTGCTGATTAGACCTGGAGCAGGAGCCTCTTTCTTTGTTATTGCCTTTTAAACCCTTGGTGATGAAAATGATCTCAGCTGTGTACAGTGGCGATGTTGTTTCAGCTGTTTCCTTAAAATGACACACTAACCAATATATTTTCTTAAGTTGCACTTAAATATAATAATTTCAACTGATCATAATGGAACTGAAATTTTTTGAGATTGCTGAACAACACTTCTAGTTAGCATTAATCTACTTTTTTTCTTCTTAGATCTTCCTGATTCACTGAGTTTTTTTATTATTCAATCTATTGAGTTCAGTCAATATTTTGTTTTCATTCAGGCCACTTTAAACTACCAGCTGTAGGCATTTATAGTGATATATTTTTTAACAGTGCAGAGTTTCACTGACTCAAACTGTACAGCTTCACACATCACCCAAACCAACGTTATCTACACCTTTATCCAAGTCAAAATACCATAATTTTCCAGACTCCAATTTTCAGAGTTCTCTGACTGAAAGTTAGAAAAATAAACTCAGAAGTTTACCTTGAACATTGAGGAGATATTTCTAAGGAGACAAGGTTCAGCAAGATGTGAAAACTGCAGAAATAACTAAAGGAGGATGCCGATTGGGAGGAAGAAGACGGAGTAAGGGCTGATGGTGAAGAAATACACAAATCATAAACCAATGACTGGAGAGATAAAAACTATAAACATTGGAATGGGAGGACATTTTTTAGATAGCAGATCTGGAATGCATGTCTAAAAAAAACCCACATTGCAGAAAGCTTACTGAGACCTTAAGATACAAGAGTTTTGCAAATACTTGCTTAATTAATACTTAATAGTATTTATGGTTATGTTCCGATTGCTGGTAAATCTTAAAGAATTTCTTGTGCATTTCATTAAAAAAGTAAGGCAGAAATCAATTTATTTTAATTTAAATTGTATATAAAGATCAACATTACTTTAAAAATTAGAACTTAAATGAATGAGTAATTGGTTTAAATGGAATATTTGTTCATAATTTGTACTTAGTTTACCTAATTCTTAACATCAGGACTGAAAAAGGATATATTTCTGATCTAAATAAGTAATTAGTAGTTAGTGCATGACTGATCAGGTAAATTACTCTTTTTATCAATCAAATGTTAGCAGTTTTATTGTGCAGAGGGGAAGTGAAATACTTTTAATGCTAGAAAGGGGAACAGAGGATCACCTGCTATGCATCAACAAGTTTCTTTCTAAAAGGAGCCATGGTTTAATAAGCAGCATGCGGTTTGACATCTGATCCTCAGATTCATAAGCTCTGATGGTGTCTCTCTCTCTCTCTCACCGTAAATCATGGCCAGTCCGGTTTCATGCAGAAACCTGAAGCGCCGGTGCTTGAAGAGCCAGATAGTGAGGATAGTGAGGGTGAGGAGCAGGATGAAGATGAGCAGGTCTGCGCTGTCCTGTCTGTGACTCTCCTCAGCCTTCTTCTCTGTAACGATGTTCTCCATGGCACTGTCCTTCTCCTGAGCAGGAGATGATGCTGCTGCTGCTGAGAAGCTGATGAACACACACAGGCTCACCATAACCAGCAGCCGCAGCGTCCTAAAACTCCCACCCGCGCTCATTTTTTATCAACCTAACGGCTGTTTTCTCATATGGTCAACGTAGTCGTAGGAAAAAAAAGAAGAATAATAGTCGAATATGAGTCACGGACTGAGGTAAGAGATGACAGCAGAAGAGACGACAGGAACAGTTTCAACCCGGAAATGGAAAAATACTTTTTTTTCCCCTGAAAGGGTCAACTTAATTTCATATTAAAAGCTCCCCTCTGATTTATGAAGGACTAACTCTGCCATATTTAAAAATAAATACAGTGAACTAATCACTAACAAATAAACAAATAATAAAAAACACTGTTTAATAATACAGAGCCCTCCAATTCATGAGTTTTGGAATATTTAATGGAGTTAATTACTGAAAATTTAAATAGTTGAACTTTTCTTTTGAAATCTTCAAACTGTTTCCTCTTTGACAGGAAGTGAAGCCAACAGTAATTTATTTAGTTTTAAAATCTAGGCATATATTTCTAATAATTTCTCGTGAAAGAAATTATACCTTCAAGATTAAAATAATTAAAATGTTCGCGACCATGTTAAAGACGGTTTTTTAAATCAAAAATGGTAAAATAGAGTTGGAACTCTCGCGATACGAACGAAATGCGACGTTTGGAGTCTTTGGTTTTTTTGTACGTTTGAAAAGGTTCCATATTTTGTTTCGTGTAGAAAAAAAACGTCTCCCTTAAAACATCAGACACTCTTTCTCTATAGCAAACAAATTACTGAAAAGGTGAAACTGAAATATTAAATCAAATTTATTGTTTGTTAATGTACAACTAAAAGCAATTCTGTGTGGAGATAACGTTATATTATAATAACTCTTAATCTAACCTGTGCAATTATAATCAAAAGTTTCTGTTGATTTTTACCAAAATGCACGAATTATTATTGATTTTTGAAAATAATGATGGTTTACAGTGAAATTTAAAGAAGATAAAGAAACAGCAGTAAAAATCGAACTACAACAAATCCGAGGAGTACCTGAATGCAGCATAAGGAAGGCGTCAATCCGCGGTTCGCTGCTAATTTACGTGGTTAGACAATAACCTAGTTTTGTCGTCTAAATCATTGTGTTTACGTTTGCTTTATATTGTACTTTGCAGATTTATACATCGTTTCAACTCCGCGTCGTAAATTACGAAGCTAGATATGACTTCTAAAATTAAAGGTGAGCAGTTTTTCTTTAGCCTGGTTTGCTAACATTACCCATTACTTCCTATTTTGTTGAATTAATCACATCTGTAATACAGGAATTAATGTAAACATGTGCAGTAAAGTTGGATATTTTAGGTGTATTATATTTTATGATACAAATAGACCTAACAATACATTGCACTGATGTTACAGCTCATAGGAATTCAGGTTGCTACGTTTCTCCGCTATCTTTGCCTTGTAAACAAAACCTGAAAGCAGGAATGATCATATTACGGAAGAGGATTAGGGACACTGAAAAAGTTAACTGATTTTTAAATATTATTTCAGTTTAATACGGGATTTTTCTGGGAATTCTGACTTTAATCTCACAATTCTGACTTTAATCTCAGAATTCTGACTTTAATCTCAAAATCCTGACTTTAATCTCAGAATTCCGACTTTAATCTCAGAATTCTATTTTTCTCAGAATACTGACTTTAATCTCATAATATTGACTTTTTTTTCCCCTCAGAATTCTGACCATTTTTCTTAGAATTCTGACATATTGGTGGAAAATTAGGGAATTAGGCGACTTTTTATGTGCCCAAGGGGTCCACGGTGATGCTATTTCATTAATGGAAGAGCAGAAGGTGACAAACAAGAGAGCTAGTCTATAAAACGGACATGGCTATGGCTTGATGCGAATATGTTTTTTAGCTGTCAGAATTCAGAGATTAAAGTCAGAATTCTGACTTTTTTCTCATATTATCCATCCATCCATCCATACATCTTCCTCCGCTTATCCGGGGTCGGATCGCGGGGGCAGCAGCTTAAGAAGGGAGGCCCAGACTTCCCTCTCCCCAGCCACTTCTTCCAGCTCTTCAGGAGGAACCCCAAGGCGTTCCCAGGCCAGCCGAGAAACATAGTCTCTCCAGCGTGTCCTGGGTCTTCCCCGGGGCCTCCCCCCGTTGGGAC